GAGCCACAGGTGCCCTTGTAATGTTTGTTTTTCATCGAAGGAGTTCTCTTTATCTCTTCTGGCATGAATATAAGATCAACCATTTCTACTCAAGCTGTGGACCTAAAAGTTCGACGAACCTGAGGTGGTGCTCAATTGCGTACAAGACATTGGGGAGTTATTGTTCGCAACATAAAGAAACAATAAGAAATACAAGCGTGCTCTCATATTTCCTACAAGGATAAGAAACATCCTGTTTAGTCATTGACAGAATGCACGAGCTTTTTGGCTTCTGGCCGCTGATGAAGATGAAGAGAGGAATAGTGTGTTTGTTTCGTGATGAGTGAAGATTTTCCCCTGAGAGAAGAGCTTTCTTTTTGGTTATTGAAAGGACAACCAGATTATCCAGAAGAGAAGGAGCTGGCTGGTGCTTTCTTGAGTTGAGAGAGGCTGGAAACAGCCGGTAGGCAAGCAACGCGGAGTGGCAAACAGAATCCGTTTTGTGATTCAGATGGGTGTTCACCTGCTGCAGAGAAGTAACATGATTAGCGGTAGGTGTAGGTGGAGAGGAGAAACCACAGTAAAGACCGATGGTTTCTTTATTGGGGAGACAACGGATAGAGACGGAAGATAGTGGAAGATCAGTCGGCAAGAAGTCTGGCATGGATCATTGGGGGGTGGGGGGCAAGGGCTGTGACCATATATATATATATATGTCTGTTCGTACATGTACATGTATGTATATATATATATATATATAATATACATATACACACACGCACACATCGACAAATTTATTCAAATAATAACATTCATCGATTCTTAAGGAGCACACCAGCGAGGATGAACATGTGTTCAGATGGAATGCCGCTGGACTGCAACACAGGGCCTACACTGGGGCCTACACGAGACCAAGAGCATCCTTGATCCCTTCAAAGTACGACTGGACATTTATTTTGGCCACCAAATCTCAACCTTTGCGCAACCTTCAAGTCTCATCTATACTCCCTTTGACCGTGAGCTTTTACCTCGAAACTTGCCAAAGTGTGGGCGTCGAAACGCTACCCTCGTACACCGTACAACGCTGCGTTGCAGGTGGGAAGCGATGATGGCGTCGGAGGTGTCCGGCGAAACAAGATGGCAGGCCTCTCGGCCTCAGTCCAGACTTAGCTGTGCAAGGAGCAGGTGGAGCCAACGCCCTCTCGGCATGATGCGGTCGCGAAAGAAGTTGTAGGCGCAGTCTTTCGGGTCGGAGACCAGACATGCTTGACGGTGGCGGAACTTCAAGGTAACATGTCAATCGACGTGTTCTTATGTCAGAGCACCTGCTTCATGGCAAACTAGATGAGTGCACTCGCTTTGCGCCGTTGGCGTTGGATTGTGGAGTGCAGCAGCTCTCAGTATGCCTCCATGTCGTATAAAATGTCGAACAAAGTTCGTCTCTTGCTATGCACTCAAGCCCCCTGCTCCTGCAGTTGCAACGCCACCGATGTGCTTCGACTTGAGCCAGGAGGAGTCCGCACAGAGCGCCGACAGAGCAAGGTCACGTTTCCTTCATACCGCCTTATTTCACGGGCCTCGTTGCTTTTACTGGCCGTTCTGTCTTCAAGTCTGTAAATTTTTCGAAGATCAGAAATGACAGTAGTAGCAGTAGTATAACAGATTCATGAGAGTTCATGCGGTGCATGTAGAAGTCGTAGCCGATTCTTGACGTTTTCATGTTTCCTCCCTGTGTACCCGGGCCCATGGCTTCAGAAAGTGGGAGGACTCTGCAGACGAGGATGGGGACGCCGAGGCAGAGCCGGAGAACACTTTGCCGCAAGATGCCGTGCCCGACTCAGGAGAGATTGCGTCAGCCTCGCGAAGTAGATCAGAGTCCTGTGACCCGAAACGGGACTGTGGTTCATGAAGCAAACGGCATAGTCGGCACTGTGCGAGGATCACATGACGAAGATTTTATGGGAGCCTGGACTGTATACCTCACGCGAAAGAACACCACATAAACATGAGCTGTTGGTATTGGGGCGCCGTATTGGGGACCGGTAGCAAGAAGGCAGATCCCTGCCACCACTAGTGCTGCGCAGGAACGGATAGATCGCAACTTAAGCTTCGGATTAGTAGCATATTCGATTTACGAGGAGAGGTTGTAACAGACAGGCCTTCTCGTTGCATAGACAGCGGGTGTAGCTGCTTCCTTTATAAAGAAGTGTTTTTTGCTTTTTTTTGCAGACCCACAAACTTTTTCAAGCCCGTGGACATCCCTGCAAGAAGCCCGGACATCCCGAGAGCAAAGCTTCATGCTTTGGTTGGGAAAGAGTACTTTGCCTTGTTTCCCAGGCACACAAGCTTTCTTAGGCACTGACGCCCACGGACGGACATTTCCCGGCTTCCCAGGAGAATCTTAACGGAGTTGTTCTGCACGAGGTCTTTCCGCCCTATGTTCCTATAGTGTTTGTGGGATGCTTTTGACCATACCTGCATAACTGTAACTGTATATGCGCAACATGCACTCAGTTCTTCCTTGTAACCTTGCCTTCGACCGGTGCGCACTGCGCATCCGATGCCTTTTTTCCCTTCGCTTGTTCCTTTCTATATAGATGTATTGCCGACTCGTCCCGAAACCAGCGTTCATCAGTTTATGTAGTTTTCTTCGCCCCTAATAAGAAGTTACCCTCGATGACTGGCATGGCATGAGGCCGACATCAAACTGAGACACCTGTTTTCAAGAGAATTCGGGTAGATTGCCACCCTTCAAGTCTCTTCAAGCACGTGATCTCCACCCTGCATCTCAGAAGTGTGGTCCCAGCCCTGAACCAAGGCCGTGCTCTCCTCTTTGGGTGACGAGTGGTTCAGGAGGGAAGGGAAGGGAAGCCGGGGGTTTGGGTTAGGTCCCATGAGTCCGGGCTTACAGTGGGTCAAGGCCCCAAGAAGATCGGGTCGGGGCATCCTTTCAGTTTCTGCCTGCAGAAGCCTCGCGTTTCGTTATCCCGAATCCTGAAGAACCCGGGCGCCTAAGACCGATGGTCCCAACAAGTGGCCTTGACAGTGTTGAGTTCAGACAACCCTTATTGGGAACAAACCACCAAACAGCAAGCCACACCTGTGAACCCGAAATACTCTGAGCGTCAGTACTTGGAGGATCATGGGACTTAGTAAATAAGGTTATAAGTCCCTTAATTGGGGGTATAAGTATAGTTACCCTAATTATAACTCCACTTACTAAGTCCCATGATCCTGTAGGGCTAAACCCTAAGCCCTATAAACCCTAAACCCCACTTACTAAGTCCCATGATCCTTTAAGTAGCCCAACTCCCTCTGAGGATGCCACTGGAGGGCTCCATCTACGCCTGGGTCTGCCGGCGACAAGATGGCTCTGAGGATGGCTTCGTCGAGATGAACCCGGCTACTGGGCTCTCCCTAACCCAGGTACCTACTATATAGGGTACTAGAGCCCCTAGGGCCCTGTATAGTAGGTACCTGGAGGGTTAGGGTCTGTTTTTGCGGGTTTAGTACGGAGCAGGGTTTTTGGGGTTTACTGCAGGGCTTACGGGGAGCACAGGGTGCAGGACTCCGGTAGACCTAGTGGCTGGGATGCATTGAGGGTGTTGGGGCCGCGGGGCTGCAGGCTCGCCCGTGAGTTTCAAATTCCTTGTATGTTCCGAAAGTTTCAATTGAACTGGACAAAGAAGCAACGTGCAGCGTGGATGCGTGCTCACATTTCTCAAGAATACAAATGGGAATAAAAGACACCCTGTTACTGATTCATCTGCTTTGGTAGTGACTATTTCGTGCTTGGTTTGGAATTCAATCGCCAGAGAACGACCCGAAGGCCCGCTCATGCACTTTCGCATTGCGGCGGCATCATACCACATACCTTGAATGTTGCACTCACAATCCCCCGGCAGTTCCCACTTGAAAGCACCGGATCCGTCGTCCTTCGTGAGGCCCCTTGGGTTCATGTTGGCCCTGGCGAAGTGGATGAGCTGCTCGACGAAGCGATGACTGGCACTGTCAATGTTATTCTTGCTTGAAGCACTCTCCAGCATATACAGCATCTTGCGGATGCACTTCAATCTGCATCCAGCACGCTTTTTCGATCTAGGTGCCGCTTCTAGGGCCCCCCAACTTCGTAATTGCGTTTGGGAGCCGCGAGCTTTAGGCGTGGACTGTCGGGCAATTCAACAAGGATCAGGTCGTTGATGTCCGCCACAGCTCGAGGTAACTCGCTGCATCGCTAAGTCAGACGTCACGCTTCACTCTGACCCCAAGGAGGCCATGCTGGATCAACGAATCCACCCAGGAGTTCTTCTTCATCGAGGAGGCGGAGGTGCCTACAGCATACAAAACCCTATAACTTCCCAGCGCCCTAGTTTCGGGAGCACTGGGGCACACAATCCGATGGGCGTACGCGCCCAAGCCTTCAGCAGAACTCCTGGAACTAGGAACGGCAGGTTCTTTGCGCTGTGTCCTCAGATCATGTTGTGAAGTGTAGGAATAAATCATCGTAGCACTAATCGCCCTTGGGGCCACAGAAACCTTACCCGAAGCCCGAAGCTGCATAAAAGCTCAACCTCAGCTATAAACTGTCCAGTGGCCCTAGACACCTTCCGACCCCGTAACACCCCCTAACCCCCCCTCGCTCAGTTCTCATTGTGCGGAGGCGCCCTGAATTATGCGCCGCCCAGCTGGCAGAACGAAAAGGGGCTTGCGAAATCGGCTCCTAGAGTCCCAGAATAGAATGTGCATCGGCGCTGTGAACACATGTATGCCTCTGCCTCGGGGCACAGTGCTGGCTCCAAAGGACATGCTGCTGAACCGACGTAGAGAGCATGTCTTGCCATGTCCGCGTGCAGGCACGGGAAGCCGCAGCCGTCCGAAGTTTCGAAGATGAAACATGACCATAATCTGTGCTGCCAGAATATGCAACTTATATGTCATGTGTACCACACTCATCAGGATACTCAGTCGTTTGAAAGGACCCAGAAATAAAGTGGCCTGTCCTCTGTATAGCTTCAACCGTGATGGCAGCCGCCGCTTCTGACGACCTGGAAATCACGGTGCCTACGACGTCAGTCGAGCTCCTCGATATCAGTGGCGCAGATGTCATTTGCGACCCGAGTTGATCCGATTAGTTGAGTCAGAGGTATAGGTAAAGGCCTTGACAGGAAGCCCTAAACCCTAAACCCTAAGATAGCCTTTTCAAAGCCAGCTGGGTGTGCCATGGTTTGCCTGCAAGAGTCGTCCAATAGAGCCCAGGGATGACCCATCCTCGATCAATCACTTCCACGTGCTTGAAGACATCGCGGCGTTCACAAACGGTTCGGACCCTGGGGCTGTGGGAGTTGACGAAAGTAAGGGGGACCTTCTTCTGGGGGTCCTTATGAGAAGGATCCTACTATTTTGGGGTACTATATTCTGGCTTGTTAGGGTCCCCTGTTTTCGGAAACCGCCATGTAGCAGTGCAGCACAGCTTGCAAGTGCTTTGGTGAGAGCTTGCTTCAGAAGGTATGGCAGGATCGTGCACCCGTTCGTTCATCAGTTTGACATGCTGAGACCAAGCTTTGGATCGTTGAGGCTGTTGAGACCAGCTGCTCTGAAAACCGGCCTTTTGATGTGGCTACACAGGGGGGCCATACCCAAAATGCTCTCCGTTCAATCTAGACCCCCTGGACGAAGGGATATCCCCTCTACGAATAACGGAAAAGGTCGCGCTGCTAAGTATGGATTTGCAAAGTAGTTCGGCTCTGCCCTTGCCACATCTTGTGGTTACATGCAGGAGGTATAAGACTTCAACAGTTCGAGTTCTCTTTGACACGTGGATGGTTTCAAGATGTTTCGAGTGCCCATGACGGACACCTACAGAGCGAGGGAGGCAGGCACGGAGGAAAGGAGGGGCTGCATGAGAACTAGAGCCATGCAAGAGTAACTGATTATTTCATGAAGTGTACTCTGTCTTCTTGTCGCACCTATCAGTGTGTCTTAGACTATGTTGTGTTACGTTGTTGTTCTCCGAACACCCCTAGCCATGGTCCAGGTCGGCTGACAACGCAGCTGGCGAAACGAAGCTTCGTGCGCAACGTGCAGATTAGCGCTCCTGGGCTGTGGTGGAACATAATATAGGGCCTTCATGTATTACCTATACTATGTTGGGGGGTTCCTTATTATGTTTATGATATACTATATCCCGAGACCCCATTCTAATTATTACGGCCCCTATATTATGAGTTGGGGATTTAAGGTTGGGAGCTTCTCCAGAGACCATATAGCTTTCGCCGGGACGAGAACAGTAGGTCCGGTGAGGCACCGATGAGATGCGCAAATGTAACCCTGAAGCACTACACCGTGAAGAAGCTTCGAATGAATTTGGAGACTTTCTCGCAGGCTATCCTGGTTGGACAGTTGACAGCAAAGTGAGAACGCCAAACCCAACCTCTCAGGTTCCAAGATATACAGCCGAAGTATGCCAGCACGTGGACTCATAGACTTTAGAATTCAGAACCCCTGCCAATAGACACGTCCCACCGAATTCATGTCCTTATGACGTGTTGTCCTCAAACAGGTCTTGGTGGCCACGTGGGCTGTGGTACTGTCCCTGCCGATCATCATCTGGCCATGGGCAGCAGTCATGTGCCACGGATGCAATCCAAACCATGAAATGTCGATATCTAAACCCTAAACCCTAAACCCTAAACCCTAAACCCTACGGTTCTTACACTGGCATTATTGTGAAACTTAGCTACGCAAATCTGGATCCCGAGATTGCTCTTTGTCCTGAAAGCCCCAAAGCATCGCGAGGATGCCTTTAAAGAGACAACTCCGACAGGCTGCCTGCGGCAGTAAATCCAGAACTGCAGCAGCAAAGGCTCCGACAATGACGACAGAAACTATCGCTCTCACCCTTGGACCCTGAATGTAGGGGCCTTAATAAGTTGGAATGCCGTTTTGGGGTATAGTACTATATACTTATAATAAGGACGCCCCCCCACCCAAAAAAAAAAACGAGTATAGGTAATTTTTAAAGCCCCTATTTTAGCTATTGCCAAGCTCGGTCTGTACCGAGTAAACTAACCATTTAGTCCCGCAGCCAGAACATCAACCGTCAGGCAAGCGGGACACTGGCATTCTTCCTATATTCTCCATTGTAGTTCCTTTTTGGGGATACCTTATACAATCCTTATTATATTATTTGGTTAAACCAGAAAAAGGAACTACAATGGAGACTATAGGTTATTCAGAGCACTAGGCAAGAACGTCGAGAGCGGACCACAGCTCTCAGACAACACCTCGAAACAGTCGGACAGAACACAGCCAATAGACAGACCGGTTTAGGGTTTAGGGTACCAGTAGGGGCTGCTGTGTACGAGGCCTGCTGTAAAAAGGGTACCAGTAGTTGTGGGAGTAGCAGAACCGTTTAAGTATGCCAACACCATGCTAGTCATCTACTAGTCATCGTATCCATCGCACCCATGGGCAAGACAATGATGAGGCGAGCTACTGAACTTACCCGAATGGATCCAGCGACAGACTGGAAATGACCTTCAGATTTCACGACGGAGCAGTCGCAAGGATCTTAGCATGCATGGGCCTTCCGAAGCCTTCTGACCTGAAAACTGAGCACGGGGAGGGGCCCTAACAAATTGCATCCAAGGAATCATGCTTGGTGTCGGGACCTCTCCTTACCTGACTGCAACATGCATCCTGGCGTGTGCCGGGTGGAATGGAGCCTCTGGAGGTTTACAACCGAGTGCGTGCCCTCCAAACCCAGCGCATTTCTGAGCCTTTCTGGACACCAATAATGTAGGGGCCTTAATAATTAGAATAGGTTTTTGGGGGTTCAATCTTTTAGTTATAGTATAAAGGAGCCCAAAACCCTATTCCAATTATTAAGGCCCCTACATTACCTGTCAGTTTTGTTGTCATTCTGAGACTCTAGCAATTCACCTTTTTGTGCATCACAAGAACAAAGGAACCTTTGGGGGACTATGCTGCTTCAGTTTGTTTTCTCCGTTTATGTGGACCTGGGCATGACCACCAAGTTTACCTTACAGGGCCTCTTTGGCTCGTGCTTAGCATATGTGAATGTCATGTTCCTGAACCGCGTGCTGGGATTCTTATTCGCCGGCGGTGCCTACAACGGAGACAAGTTCACGGTCTCCGTGCCTATTCAAGGAGAGTCTTACCAGACCGCTTCCTACGCCGTCTCTTACTGGCTTCCGTTGTGCAACAACGGCGAAGTCAGGCTTCTCACTTCCAACATGAGCACCCTAACTAGTAGATAGACGTATCGGTTCTGGTTCTACAAGACAGACCAGGTTTGCTGACAACGCCGCCCATTGCTTCCTGAACATTTGGCTGGACAAGCTGACATGGTCCGGCTTTCTGAGATTGGGCGTCCTTTGGGTGGACTTTGCCCTTTTCGTACTCCTTTGCTTCTCTGTACCTTTCGATCCCAACCCGCGGATGTTTGCTCTATCGACGCACGTCAGCTTTATGATGACTTTCGTGAATCCTTCCGCCGATGGCTTCTCCACTGAGCCGACCTACGCCACGGACTATCTTTACATGATTCTGGCTGCCTCTGTCATGCCCCTCGGCTCGACAGTACCATGCATGCGTGTTTCTGAACCCTGACCCCAAAGGTACCCATACTATATAGGGCCCTAGGGGCTCTAGTACCCTATATAGTAGGTACCTGGGGGATTAGGGTAAGTTTGGAGTAGTGCTTGCAAACTGAGCAGCTAACCTCAGGGCAGCCAGCTGCAATCATCGCACGAGCCACCGAACCTAAAGGCGGACCCGGACTGACTCAAAAAGGTGAAGGCGGCTACACTGATTCCCACTTCATGCCTAAATCCCAGATACGACAACATGGACCTTCTTACAAGCGAGAGATTCCCAAAAACACCGTTTTCTCCGGCAACCGAGATGTTGAAAGCCAGAGTCTACATCAACAGCTTCCAAGCCAAGAGAACATGCCAAGGTCTCGAAAGGGTCATCCCAAGCCTTGTAGCCCTCCGCTATCAAGGTCCTTGCTTTGCTTCTTTCTGCCACGGCTCCGCTTCACGGCGACTGAAGCTGCTGGGGACTGGGCCTGCGATGCCCTGCAAGCCACGAGAGTGTTGCTGGATAGTTCAGTCTTCATTTCGAGGCTTCAGGGTGCTGGTATTCAGGCAGCACGCGATGGTGAAGTGTGGGCTCTAGCGTTGCAAGACCTCTAAGGAGTTAATGCGAATTTAACTCAAGGGCCGCCTTTGGCTGTTGCTCATTAGCTGGTGATCTAATGGACCTTGTAGCGGAAGGAAGCAGTATTCACCCACACGATCCCAAGCAAGCGCTACCCAAGGTTGGTGAAGCATATTCCAAGCTCCCTCGATGGTGTACTCCGTCTCAAGATCCGGACTGTGGAGCAGTGCGCTTTGCAGCTTCTGCAAGGGCTTGAGAGGAGTCTGGCGTCTGCATGGTTTGAGGCGACTCAGCATGGCCAAAGGAGTTTAAAGCTCTCGGCTCGTTTCGAAGCAGTTCGCGCCTGTCTGAGACATGAATATACGTCAAGCTGCATAGATGGGCATCCCCGTCCTGTCTAAACACAAGCTGACTGAAGCTACTGCTGCTGCTGCTGCTGCTGCTGCTGCTGCTGCTGCTGCTGCTGCTGCGGCTGCGGCTCCTAGTGCTACTCCAACCCCCCCTACTGTTTGTCTTGTTATCCTAGTCCTCCTCCTCCTGCTGCTGCCACTACTACTGCAGCTACTGCTGCTACTACGACTGCGACGACGACGACCACGACAACGTCTATTACTGCTACTGATATTACTTCTGCTACTGCTACCACCACCGCCCGCTACCTCTGCCGCGACCGCTAGCGGTATCACTACCATTACCACTACCACTACGATGACGGCTCTTGCTACTGCTAATACAACTGCTGCAACGGCTGCTGCCGCGAATGCCACGACTGCAGCTGCTACTGCGGCCCGCTGCTGTTTCTGCACTGCTGCGCACAGGGCTACGCCTATGCGTATTGGAAGTGCCGCAGCGACTACGACAAAAAGCGCTACCAACGGCTGAAGCTGCTGGTGGACGGCCTGCGCCGATGTCTGGATCCTGGACTGAAGGTAGAGCAGACCTGGACCCCAAATAACCTCCCTTTTTAGGGTTCCTCATTAGAGTTTCTTTATATAAGTCCTTAAAAAGGTAGGTTCTTTGGGGTTAAGGGAGTTTATATGGCCTGCGGATTAGGGTTCGCCAGCGGAGAAGTTCCTACCCCTGACCTCGAGACGAGATGTCTTCTGAGCCCTAAACCCTAAACCCCTAAACCCTAAACCCTAAACCCTAACCTCAGAGCCTGGACCGGGTTTGTGGTATTTGCCGAGCTCTTACCTGTAATCCCTACGTCTGCCCAGTGGTTTTCATCATTTGGATTAGGCCTGGACTTTGGGTGGCTATCATTGCAATTCGAATCCACTAACACGTGACTCCCCAAAACAACCTAGATCGCATAAGAACCCGCAAAGAACAACTCCTCTACGTCTCGCTGCTATCAAGACATGCCAGTCATGCCATCCTTGTTTAGGTTTGTTTGAACTCAGACTTAAATCTGCGAAGTCACTAAACACACACACACACACACACACTTTGTGCTGTTCAATCACTGCGCTGGCTCACCTGGACGAGACCTTCTTAAACTTAGGGTTGAGTTTCAGGTTTTGAGGTTTCAAGTTTCGTGCTCGCCTGGGGTCTGAGGCTTTCGTGTGGAGCGACGAGTCTTGACGTTTCGGGTGTATCAGTTACGGATGAAAGCCTTTCCAGCTTTCCGCTTCTGCTTAGAAGTAGGACTACTTAGCGTTGCTGCAAAGAGCCAGCCGCAGTACGAAGCCAGCCACCATCTCTGCAATCCCACGTCCGAGCTACTCAGAACTACGGGGCAGTCCTGTAGAATTTTACATGTATCCGGGCTGGCGCGTCGTGGAAACGGCTTTGGTCGTCAGTGAACTTTTTTGCGGAGCAGATTGGCCCGGACGTCAGAAGATTTCGACTGACATTTCGAAGTGAATACGAAACTTTGTATACACCGACCAACAATCGCTCCTTTTATCGGGACTGTGCGACAGCATCAGTTGCAGTTTTCGCCTTTTTGTCCAGGTTCAGTCGCAAATCGGCGCAGGTTTCAGTTTGTGGCACGAGGGGCTATATGATTCAGGAGAAGTGGGCCCGAACTCAATGGCGTCCTCCACACAAGCTCCTTGCCACACCCCATAACTCCTAGGAGCCTGCAAGGACACCTGGAGCTTCGACTCAGAACACTCCACCATCAGTGACCCGACCTGTGCCCCCCAAAAATGCTGAGGACCGGCTCCCAGCCGTTTACTCTACGGCAGCCTTGGTGGACACGTCGGGTGCCTGGGTGAGCGAGGAAGCCTTCCAGCTTTTGCAGCAGCCGCCAGTCTTCAATGGGATGCAGGTCGAATCTATGTGGCTTCCTCAAATTGCTCTGCTTGAATTTCGAGTTCATGGTTGCAGGGTTGCATGGACCGTGCAGAGGAATCCGAGTACCGACGTTGAGGCGTCTGAGGTCCTTCTGAGGTCCAAAAGGTACGCGCCTTCCGCGTTCAATGCGTTGTAGGCACCAAAAACCCACGAATTTAAAGCACATTAACTTGCAGACTTGTTTGAGGATGCAGGGATGTCAGTGTTGAAGGGCTGCTTCAGAACTTTCATGACGCAGCAGTTGAACCGACTGAACCGAGCATATGAGTGACAGCAGCCTTCCTCGTCCCAAATCCCTTCCCACGAGCAAAGACACGAACAATCACCTAGGACCTGGACCCTTATGTACCGTAGATGTTCATTACTAGCGGCTTTGGATCATACACCCTTAAAGTCAAGAGAAGGTACTGGCCCTCGAATGTTTAAGCCTTCCAGGCACAGCGAGCGAACGGCCACAAAGATGGCCCAAGTCCTGCGCTGCGCCTTCTCAGTAGCTTGGATATTCTAGGCTGTTACATTCCGGCTTCTGGAGGTTTTAGGGTTGTCTGGATTGAAACGCTGACCGACAGCAAGCTATGTCTTCGACCTTTAAACTGAAAGCTCTATGCTGTCGCTGTTTCAGAGCAGAAGCAATCACGTGGTAACGGTGTAGTCATGGTAGCATCGGGCGAAGCAGGAACCGGGCTTACTTGAGTTCCCTCCAGCCTGAGCCCTATACCCCCTACACCCACACTCAACCCTTGAGCCTTCGGCTCATAAACCATATAAGCTTCATATATAAACCCTAAACCCTAATCCCCAGATCCTAAACCCTAAGCTTGATTAAATCTCATTACCCAAGCAGTCATGATCCGAGGAGGCATCGCGGGAGGAGCCAGGCAGCAGCCAGATGGGTCTCGCTGCGTCTGAGCTGCAATCTGCAGTTTACTTGGAGGTTCATGGTAGTTATAAGTGGGGCTAGAAGTCCCCTAATATATGGGTTACAAGTATAGTTACTCTACTTATAACCCCATCTATAGCTACCCATGAACCTCCAAGCAACCATGTATAGCTTTCGGGTTTACGCGCATTGGCACTGCAGGCTTGAAGGTTTGCTGCAAGCTCCCCGTTGGAAGCAAAAACGGGGGCTGTGGGGTTTGCTTAGGTTTGGGGTTGAGAGACCGGGGTGGTGCTGCTAGTCGGATGCTATTTTTTGCTGGGCTCCTCGCAAGAGTTACTTTGGAAATTGGACTGTTCCCTTCACGATGGCTGTGTTTTGTTATTATGTTTAGCTCTTACGAAGTGTTTGCTACTGTTGTCATTATTGTCTTTACTACAGACTGTCAGTCCCATCGGTGATAGGACTGGTTTAGGGTTGGGACCATTATCCAGACTTTCACAGCGATGGCTGCTATATGATCACAAACGAAACTGGATACATATATATATATATACATACATACATACATACATACATACATACATACATACATACATATTATACACGCACAGATAGCGAGAGACACGCATATGCCTATACCTGCCCACCTACCTTGCTAGGACCTACCTACCTACCTACCTACCTACCTACCTACCTACCTCCCTGCCGTACCCACCCGACCCACCTACCTGCCCGCACGCATACATACAGTACATACAAGTACAGCTAACATCAGAACACTAAACTACTCGTGCAACGGCTTCGAGACAACAAGCGACGAAGTTCGAAGGAGCTTGATAGGGCCTCGATGCACTTAATCAAATATTGCGGATTGTACAGATTACAAATGACAGTACGGACATACTATATCGCAACAACTGCCACACCTGTGACAACAACAAGCCGTGAGTTGCGCGGGCACATTACCCACGTCCATTGATTCAACAACGACGGTCACAAAACTGCAAATAATGGCAACCCTCCAGGTACCTATACTATTTAGGGCCCTAGGGGCTCTAGTACCCTATATAGTAGGTACAGGGGGGGGTTAGGGTAATGGTAAGGCTTGCATAGTCTGCCCGGTTAGGTCTGGAAGGGTGAAGGCCCCGAGATCAATGCCTTCCTTTGCGCCGCGAGCATGGTACTAGTCGAGATCGAAGACATCGTGGAGGAGTTCCTGGCCACCACTGGCGCAGTATCCGGCACCAGGCTTCTAGGCCGCTTTTGTTTAGTGTTTTGTTGCTTTACGGGGAGAACAAGAATCCTTGATGTTTCTGGGCTGCCGAGTATCTCAGGGCAAGCCCAGCTCCAGAGGAGGAGAGCTGGTACAGATCATGTGGGGGCTGGTATTCCAAGACGCGGCTGGTTCTGTTCAAGCTGCTGTGCCACAGCGACGACACAGCAGCTACTCATCCCCGTTTCGTGGTACGCAATACCATCTCGATCTGCCTTGCTTTTGGGTTGGGATGGGTTGGTGTGTGGAACACAATGCCCTCATACTCTGCATACCCGGCCTCGACCATAGGCGTCATCGTGCAGCTAGTACGCCAGAGCATGCTTTTTCTTCGGGTCTAGTTATGTACGTTATGCGTGGTTTGCTTACAATCGTTACGGCCACATGTACCTGACCCACGTTCCCTCTCAGGTACACGTACACAGGAGCGACACCCTCTGTCACCTTGAGGCGCTTGTCCGGGGTGGTGCTCGGAAAGGCTGCAGGGGCGATTCTACAACTTTCTTTGGCAGTCACCTGGTTAGAATTGGGGGATTTCCCAGCTTGGGGTTTGTAGCCGCGAGCAGTCTCGCAGCCTGGCAAGCGCCCTTCCACTGTAGATGTGATCAGTTTGACCAACGAGGTCAAGAACGTGCTCTACGTTATCGCTTTCGCCATGTCGATGTGGCTGATCGTAGGCCTCACCTTTTTTCAATACATCCACTCGGAGGATGCCGTCGACTTTGCCGTTGTGTGCGGGCTCACGGCCGCATATGCTGCATCAAGCATGATTCCGTCCAACGGCGTCCTCCGCAAAGTGAATGAGAGAACCACGGACACAGTTCTTCCAACATTGATGATCCTCGGCACGTGATTGAGGCTGACATACATCATTTGTTCTAGTGTTGAGCCTTTAGCTGTAGCCCGAAATAGGAGCTCTGTGGAGCCAGACTGGTACTTCGCGCTTCTTCTATTCATACTGGTCGCTACCTTGCGAAACCATCATGAAGACCATAGAGCTTTGCAGACAAGTTCACATGGAGCTAGCATGATTCGGTGCCTAAGGAACACGATCCTGCAGACGCTCATCGGGATCGGGACCCGCGGGTTGACTCCAACGCATTAGCAGAGCTCAAGCTTTTTCGGGGGTTTAGGGTTTAGGGTTTAGTCCGTGCTGAAAGGGTTTAGGGTTGTAAGGTCGTCTGAGAGCTTGCTTACAGGTCAAGCGGTTCGACTTCAATCAGAAGCCTCGATGGGCTTCAATTAATGCAAGCCTTGGCAAACATGAGCCCCTATCCGTGCCGCCAGAATCATGCTGGTGGTGGATGCCTTATTGGCTTCACGAGCCTCAAACCAGGCATGGGTGGTCCATTCGTGGCTTTCGCAGACAGGGCTCTTTGAGGTTTTGAAATTATTGAGATACCCAAATTCGCTAGGTAAGGGTCGCCTGCTTCGGATCCTTATGCTACAAGATGCTACAAAGTGTAAGACTATAGTGTAGCATTTGCTTTGGAGTTTTTGAGTCGGTGGGTTCGTAGTTTTCGTCTTCCGGCCCCAGAACTTGTCCTGCCCCCCGTCGAAGCAACTACTTGGGTGTAGCCGGCAACTTGCTCAGCGGGGTTGCATGCTCTTGGGCCCAGCGCTGCGTGGCAATGTGTATGTCTGGTCGTTGGTGGGTCAAGACAACTATACCGCAGAACAGACTTTGCAGGGTGTCCTTGTAAGGTGTGAACTGAAGCTACTGGTACGAGCTTCCAGCAGTGGACAGGACCCAGTGTTCGGCACAAATCCGATTGTGCGCAAAGGGATGAATTAGAAGAGGATGGTGGGAAGCGATCACATGTCTGTATGCACACAAACACACACAGGCAAACAAGAGCGCGCACACACACACATATGCATGTGTGCATGTATGTATGTATGTATGTATGTATGTAGGTAGGTAGGTAGGTAGGTAGGTAGGTAGGTATGTATGTATGTATGTATGTATGTATGTACTTCTGTATTATGTCTGTATATGTCATACTTACACATATACATACAGACAGACAACTTGGATGCATTCGGCACCTTGCAATGCGCGATTCATGCGAACGTCCGCTGTAGTCTTTTTTCTTGCACAGTCGAAGTGGGTAACTTTTTCAGAACAACCGCTACAGCCACGCCCTTGCGGATAGGACGCCTTTCCGTCTGGACTTTGTGAGCCACCCGCATGTTGTAAAATCTTACACGGCATCGCACACATGGTGCGAAATTGTGCACGATCATGAGACGTAGCTCAAGCTTCTCCGAGACCCTACGTGCCCATGTCCAGGCGCGACAGCGGCTGATGCGAGCCTTCACACGGCTAGTCCGGGGCGTGCGGGCTTGCAAAGAGCAGGGGATGTCTCGGGAGGACTGCACAGTGTGTTCCATTTGCAGGCTTAGAGTTGATTGTTGCCAGTTACTCCCTCAGGGACTCCAGAGCTTTTGTAGCGCAGCTTCAGATCAATCCATGACTGCCCGCTGAGCAATCAGTGTGATTTCCTTCCTTCCCTGGCAGAACGCTGAAACTTTCGCGCGGGAGCACACAGAGGCACCTGACAGAGCCGAAAAAGCCCCATGATTGGAATGGTTTGCGATGCTCTATAGACGCGAGGAGGCTTCAAAACCCGCATCTGCAACTCGGAACCAGCGCTAGCATAAGACCCGAAGATCCCGCGGCATTCTGTTTCTTGCGGAGACTCCTGAGCCTGAAAGTTCTGAGACCCCCAAAAGCTATCGTGTCTGATGAGAAGTGGGGCGCTGGCATGGAAATTTGTGGAAGGGTCGGGCAGCTAGGAGAATTGGCAAGGTTCGGTTTGGGGACATGCCGTAAGGCAGATTCAGACACACCCATACCGTGGGTATGGTCTTCCGGCAGATATCTGTCTTACACATGGATTACCCAGAAAAAATGCCAGTACTGTTACACACCGCCGCAAATACTGCGAGTCATACCACAAGAACAATGCCAGGCTTGGCCTGGGTGTTTGACTATAGACTATACCTGTAGGCTACATTGCAGTTCCTTTTTGTGCTTGATATTTAGGACCTTAGGATCCTATAAGGTAATCTCAAAAGGAGCTACAATGAAGCCTATTGGTAGTCACTAGACATCAGAGGCTGGATATGTAAATTACATGCTACAGTAGAATAGAACTAGCTACTGGAGATGTTCTACGAAGGAAACCATGTACTTTGATATAACACACCTTACACTTTTGTGTTGTGTTTCTAGCATGTACACCCTGCTATCACGTCATACCTGTCTCTCTAGACTCCAGCGATGCATCTGGTGCTTGCAGGCAACCGCTGGATTTCTCCAGGACCTCAATGCACTGAAAACTTTGCTGCCCTATGCCGCTGCAGAAGCCACCTACTGGTGGGGGAGAGTGGGGGGTGGAAATCAGTGTTCGAGGATGGCACAGGTTGCTTAAACGCTAGTAAAGACTTAGAGTCTCGCCTGAAGTGTTCGGTAAAGCCTAAACCTCGCAGTGTGGTTGCGTGGGGTGCCTCAGGGGTGTCGTTGAGTCATGGAGGCTACCAAGCAAAAAGGATGCGAGCTTCCTCAGCACAGGTTCATGGAGAGAAGGAGAGTCAAGATTGAATCTGCTGAGATTTTCAGCTTGCAGCGTCGTGCGCAGAAGCTAAAGACCCGGGAGCCGTGAGTGAAGCGAGAAAGGTTTTCTTTTCTCTCGCAAAAAAATCTTACGATCTTGGCACCGACAGAACCCGCAAAACTGGAATCCCTACATCCCCCTGAAACCTAAACCAGTACGGTACTGCGGAGCCTGCCCTGAACGAGCGTGCGAACCGAGAGCCCTATACTATAGCTAAAACCGAACCCCTGCCCACAAGTCACAAGAAGGGTCCAAATGTGCAGGTCAAAGCCCCTGAACCTGGCTCTCTTCGAGTCTCTAGAAGTTCACCTTCGCAACGTCGCATCTCATTCGGCGGCTCTCGTCCGTGCCTTTCAGTGCGCAGCCCCTCGGATGACTCGATGCTTGTAGGAGCTTTTCGTTCCTTCTGATCCCTAGACTTCACTATAATTCTAAATTCGCGCGTATCGTTTCTGAGGATCATACAGAAGTGCTGTGATCATGGTGAGTAGGTTTTGGCCTTTGTTGATCCTACTTCTGCCACATGATCCTCCTGTTCAACTGTTGGCTGTCTTTTTTTGTAAGGAATCGCATGTCGATTGAGCGGGTTCTTGGTTTTCGTTGCCATCAACATGATATCAATCAACACAGTGCATCTAGCATATCCAGTTATCCATGCAGTGTGAACCCAGACACTGCAGCCATGCAAAAGGAGGCACATTCGTGATTCTTTAAGTTGAACTGTATGATGTATGCATGTATGCATGCCGTATGTATGTACGTATGTAGGAAAGTAAGCAAGCAAGCAAGCAAGCAAGCAAGCAAGCAAGCAAGCAAGCAAGTATACATGCATGTATGCATGCATGCATGTATGTATGTATGTATGTATGTATGTATGTACGTATGTACGTATGTACGTATGTACGTATGTACATATGTACGTATGTATGTATGTATGTATGTATGTATGTATGTATGTATGTGTACGTAAATGTATATGTATATGCATTTACTCATGTAACGTATGCATGTACCTGTGCATCTATGTATCTATGTGTGCTATTGGTTGTATGTGTAAGAGTCGAAAACATGAGTATGCGTATCTGTATGTGTATATATATATATATATATGTGTGTGTGTGTCTGTGTGACTGTGAGTGTGTGTGCATGTACATGTATATGTGTATGCATGCATGCATACACATGCGCACAGGCGTGAGCAAGTATCTACCAACATTTCATGTGATGCCTAGTTATTTAGATTCTGCTTTGGACCAAGGTTCTGAAATGTCAGCATGTTTTACAGGAATTGTTCTTACGGGGTGTTGAGACTCAGCAGTCACGCGCCACACGCCCATGCCAGTTTCGGGCGAACACCGAGCACTATGAACCCCAAGCTCCTATGGCCCATGGCCCTATGGTGCAGACATGCGCAGACCGAGGAGCAGGTGCGGGTTTCTTCGCTTCCAGCCTGGCCTGCGTTGTACCGCTTCTTCCACCAGCAGCTGCTGTGCCGGGGTCGCGACATCAATTCTGGGTTCAGCTTCGGACTTACACGGTGTCAGGTCTCGAGGTTCCAGGTTCGGGGTGGAGGTGGAGGAGGAGGAGGAGGAGGGGGACGGCGTTTATGGGGAGCACGGCGGCAGCAGCTGCGGCAACGGTAATAACTAGTAGCATTTGTCTTTGCAAGATTGTTCGTATCCGCCCTGCACGAGGACACGGACTTCTGCTTTGAACAATGCACTGCTACTGCTATCATTGCTTCCTGTACCTTTCCGAACCTGTTTTAACTTAACAGGATGTCGATCCGCTTTCTGAGGGGCTGAGGGGCTATCTCCGATATCCAGTATTAAACGAGTTCTGCTATAATCGCAGAAAGAAGCTCGAAAGAGAGATAGAGAGAGAGAGAGAGAGAGAGAGCGCGATCGACCTCAAGTAGTACTGTAGTTAGCGTTGGCACAGCGTGAGCCCCCAAACTTTCCTTTCTGCATCGCTCATGACCTCGGCCTGCATAATGCCACACCATACCCTTTTCTTGCCCTAAGCGACCTTTGTGTCCATGCCTCACGACAGCGACATCTTTCCGGCTCCCAGGCACAACTTGATAGAGATCCGCGACATCACGGAGGGTCTTCTGAGCTCTCACAGCGAGGAGTGCAGTGCCAAGTCGGAGAGCAGTTGTGTCGAAATTGAACGAAAGCCAGCAGATGCCTCTTCTACAGAAAGCTCAAGCTCTTTACTTCTGCTGCGGTGGGCAACTGTAGGATATCTTGCATATCTTGCACGGCTGCGTGCCAGATGCTGTCGGTGTAAACTCTCTCCTATAGTTGCCTGGATTTCGCTAACATCGAGCGAACAGCAGCGGGGAGTCGAACTTGATAAAACCAGACCCACGAATGAAGTGGATCAATTTGGCCCCGAGGTGTTTATACGTAGAGATGTGGAGATGCAGCCCCTGAGCCTTGCAGGCTGGGTTTCCCAGAGGCAGGGTCTGCCAGATTTGTGGGACTGGGACCATTTTGCAAACATAGATGGGCTGCCACCATCATTTCCGGTAGGTTCCAGTGGGAGCATCGAATAATGACAGGAGGGCCTAAAAAGCCACGACTCTGACGGCAGAGCCTCCAAAGCCCTAAACAGGTAGTTATAAGTGGGGTTATAAGTCCCCCAACATGGGTTATAAGTATAGTTACCCTACTTATAACTCCATTTATAGCTACCCATGAACCCTAAACCCTAAACCCTATAGAACCCTTTAAAGGAACCTTATAACCCCAATTATAACTACCCATGAACCTCCAAGCAGGACAACTTGGAGCTCCAAGAAGTGCGACAGAGGTTGGCCGAGAGCCTGTACACCTTCCAGGCTGCATGGCAGCCACGAGACGAGCCTAATTGCGGCAGGGTTTGGGGTTTAGGGCCTAGGGTAATTGCGGCGTTCCAAAGAAGAGGAGAGTCAACTTTTCCAAGCTCCCTTTGTCTCCGTTCTTGCATCTCCTGATAAGCATCAAAAGGCCACCTTGATATGGAGATGATAGTCACGCGGGCTTCCAGTATATGTGTTCTTTGGAAAGCGCATGCCCGGTCCTGCGAGGTTGCTGAGAAGATGGCTACAACGTTCAACACGATGGTCGCCAAGAAGCTCGGCCGAAGCTCCATGGTATGTAGTGTGTACGGCAGATGCAGGAAATCGCCGCCTCGACATGCACATCGTTGCAATCGATGTTGTGTCGTGCTGGGGCTTCGATATTCTACACCCCGCACGCAAGGATCATTCTCAAGTCAGTATCATGGCCAGCTTGGAATGGTGATGTTCAATGCTCGTAGCCACAGGAACACTACGCTCTTACGCAATTTGTCGGCTGATTGCTAGTTGTATGATGAACCTTCTAGTCGCGGTGGTGGTCCTCTTTGGACTCATACTATGATGTTTCTGTTGTCAGCACATTTCAATCCACAAAGGGCGTATTTAACACATAAGTAAAGTGGAGAGATATTCTAGGCCCGGTGGAGTACTGAGCTCCCGAAGCGGGGCCTAAACCACCCAAGCTGCATGGACTGATATTCACACAATATGTTTCTGTATAGGGTCGATGGGCTTTCCTGCGATTTGCTTCCACAATGCATCGCTGACTTTCAGATACCTCGGCTTCAAGGCCTTGTACGATTAGCTATCAGCCTTGTAAAATCCCATGCAAGCAGCGAATTCCCCGCCGCGCAAAGGTATCTAAAGCGCTGTTGACCCCAGCAACCAAACCAACACACAACGGAACGAAACAAGCTGAGATCCCAGACACCCTCAAGTGATTTGACTACATCCTCAACTGTTAAGCGTCGAAAGTTCAAGACCATATAGTGCAGCGACTTAAACTCTGACAACCTAAATCTCAAGCTCCTCCCAAATCCCACCAACAAAACCAAGCGCAGAAACCCGCATACCATACATCTTGCAGTTGTGCATTGCCTTGTTACTACTATACCTGTGATTAAGAAGTTTTTAAGTACTATGGGTTATAATGGTCCCTAAACCCTATAAACCCTAAACCCTAAACCCTGGTTATGAACACACCAAGCACAGGAAAGAAAAGGGCGCCCGCGCTGAACGACCCGAGCGAGTCCAGCCCAGCTCCAGCTCCGGCCTCGTCTCTCGCGTGCACCCTGGGCTCCAGACTTTGCGCATTTATTTGGGGTTTAGGGTTTAGGGTTTAGGATTTCTGACGATAGGGTTTAGGGTTTCTGGTTCTTATCACAGTGATGCAACTTTCATGTAACTCTTGTTGTGAGGGGGTAGAGCGAGTATCATTTAGCAATTCTTTGAGGGGAGTACGTTTTTGTTCGGTTCAGGTTCAGGCGGGGTTCAGCGAGGGTTTGTGGTATTAGTGTTCAGGAGTTCAGTGTTCCTGTGAGTTTTAGGATATCACATGCTTCTGGGGCTTCGGAAATGCGGTCTTTCGAGTTCGGAGTTTCAGGGTTCCGAGTGCAAAGCAACGGAGTTGTTGGTAGTTTTCTGACTTGAGGGGCCTCCTATCTCTTAGGCACCGTGTCTACAAGCAGTTCCTGCATGAAGAGCTTGAAGAGGACAGGTGCACAGCCAGCGTCGGCCTAGGTTTACCGGCGGGTGAACCACTGGTTTGCATGAGGCTGACAGAGCTTACGGGTTGGAAAGGCATGCTTCGCATATGCTCACAGTGCCAGCAGAACTGCCAGCAGATAGCAGCTTACTTTGCCAACGATGCAGGTGGGCAGGCAGCCCGAGAGACAGACATGCACCCAAGACCATTCATGTAGAATGTCACGCGTCTCCTTTTCCTTTAATGAGTCCTACCCGGGCTGCAATTGATTTGCCTCGTCCTTCTCTCCCGCCAGGACACTGACAACGTGTCCTTCAGCCACAGACCCTCAGAAAAGCATCTTGAAGTAAATCAGCTTAGAACTTGGCGGTCCGGATTGAACTTGGCGGCGTCGGCAGACTTGAATGACTGCTCCCCAAGGACTTGAACTTGAAATCGTTGATGGCTCTTGGGTTCGATCTAAAAGCCGGAATGGCCCACTGTGCTATGGGAGGAACGCAAGGGTGGTCTAATGTAGAGGCTTCAATAAGTATCTATACTATTTTTCTGGCTCCGAATAGTATTCTATACCGCAAAACCGTAGTCTTATTAAGGCCCCTGCATTTTCCTGCTGGGTTGGCCTTTTTCAGTCCAAGGAGTTTTCACTTCCCCTGAACCTAGGACGTGGTGTACAATGCAAAGATCGTGAACATGAACACGACATTGGTGTATAGTGTGTATATATATATATAGCTATATATATATATATGCTAATTTATATATATATATATATAT